AGGTATAATTAAACGGGATATTTGTGAAAGGGGTATTTTAAAAGATTGCTCGAATCTAAATAATTTCTGGAAAGGAATTTTTTATTCAGCAGGTATCTGATATGGCAAATTAAAGCCTCATCAATAAGAAAATTCGGGCTTTTTCAAAACCCTAGTGAGGGGGCTTTGTCAAAAAGTATATGCATGTCAGCCATTATATGTAAGAACCCTTTATACTAAATAACAGTCACATCGGTGGGAAAATGGGGCTATATATATATATATATATATATATCTTATATATATATATCTTCCGATTTGCACGAAATTTTGTACATCGTAATAAATTAGGTATAGAATTATGTGTGTTAAGTTTCCTAAAAATCGGTTCAGATTTAGATATAGCTCCCATATATATTTTCGTCCGATTTAATGTAAATGGTGCATAAAAGTCCCATATGTCTTTCGATTTGCACGAAATTTGGCACAACGTAATGAATTAGGTCTAGAATGAGGAGTGTTAAGCATCCTGAAAATCGGTTCAGATATAGCATCTATATCTGACCAAATGAAAAATTTAGTATTGGTTGCAGAATGACATGTTTATGGACCCAATTTCATTTTACTGGTCCTTTAAAAATGCGACGTCTGTTAGGATTCATCTGTTGAATATACCCAAAGTGGTGAAGGGTATCATATAGTCGGCCCCGTCTGACTTTACTACTTTCCTTACTGGTTTTCGGTATGTTTTAGGCCCGTACCTAAATTCAGTGCGTTGCGTACTAAAATACCCACCTTCTCGCCTTTATTAGGTTTGCTTAACGTCCGTATTACCCAAATACGCAAGGGCCTTATTTACTTGGGTGTTAATTGAAAACGGCGAAAATGGATGAAAACATTTTCTTCATTAACCGAAAAATGTTTACATTTATAGAAATACAAAATTTTCAATGACTCAAATTCTATTTTCAAAAAACAAAAATTCCATGTTGAATGTTGAACATTTTCAACTTTATCAGCCTGTTTATGCAAATGAAAATCAATTTTGGTTCATATAAAAACTTTTTACAGGCAAAAGAAGCCGAACGATAAACAACTCGAAAGAAAACGTAAACGTATATTTTTTCTTTACAAATTGGGTTTATGTATGACGAAAAAGCTGTCATCATGCGAACAAGAATGTCAAATTCACTCACTTGCTTTATAGCTTTCGAATGAATTTCAAAATCGCGAACTATATACCGAATTTTGAAACACTTTCACACAAGACAATCTTCATACAAAATAAAAATTTTTGGAACATATTTTATAGGTATCGCTTGGATTTTTCATTCATGTTTATGGAAAATAAAATTGTACAAATACTGAAAAATTTAATTTGACAATTTTTTTTTTGTTCAAATATGTGATTGTTTTTGTGAAGTTTGTTCTCATTTCCCATTTGACTCTCATTTATTAAACATTGTTGTAAAACTTTACATTTAACTTAGCAGTTTCTCGCATGGTGTACGTAACGGCAAACGAACGATAGCTTTCGAAATACATGAACGCTTTTTTAAACGAAAGTGAGTGAGTTACTTTCTTTCGCATTGATTTTCGTTCGAAATAGAAAAACAGTCTGTATATTTTTATACGCAATGCGTATTTGGGTAACATTCATTGAAATATACGTATTTAACTTTTGAGGTGAATAAAATCGTACGCATACGCATGAATTAAGTTACGACCCTTATGTTCCGACCCAGTGTTTCAAATTGAGTGTCTGAAATTTTGAAAATTGTTTTTACAACAACCCATGGCATAATTATACAAGGTAGTCCCATGCAGACATTTGAATCCTATATTTTCATAATTTTATTTTTGACAACATTCAAATTTGAAATGAAAATATAATCCTTCGAACTTTACAGCCTTACCTAAAATTCAACTAGCTCGTTCGACGTTTTTCACCACAAAAGTAGAACACATGTATTTATATGAATGTTACCGAAATACGTCGAACGTACAAAATTTCAAGTTGAACAATTTCAACTTTGACAGAACGTATTTTTAATTTTTTTTCCTTCGGTGAAAACAAAAACAAAATATTCTGAAAATTTGAAATTTCGAATGGGAACTAAAAATACGTGGATTAATTTAATTAATTTTCAATTTTGTTTTGCGGTTTGTATTATTTGCTTGAAGATACGAATTCGACGTATTTGGGTAATACGGCCGTAAACAACATTTTGCAAAAGCGGGGAAATTGAATATTTTTGTACGCCCCGTCGGATTTTAGGTAACGTTGTTACGACGTTTTTTCGTGTTTTATTTTTATCTGCATAATGGATTAACCCACTCGCTGTCAAGGACGAGTATACTCGTCTTAATACAGTCAAATATCGATAGTCCGGACCTCGCTAATTCGTATTATCCGATAATCCGGATGATAGTCTCAATTTAGATTGGGCGAGTTTACTTGCAGCAAGTCTTTGTTTGCTGGAGAGAGGGGCAAGGGGAATAGAAATTGAAAAAAATTGCCCGTACCGACAATTTTCTGGCAATTCGTTTTGTGTATTTTGTTTGTAGTGTCAGTAATTTGAAATACCAATCCAGAACATTATCACAAAATGTAAAAAAAATCAGTAGTGTTGGCGGTTTATTTGGGATACCATTTTGTATTTTGTTTTTGCAAAATAGTCAGGCTGAATCCCAGTTTGTTGTTTTTATAAAAAAACAACTATTTATTAGTGGGGAATGTATGGCATTGTTTGCCGAGGGGTAAGGCAGGGAAGACTATAGTTTCGGATCACGCCACTGATCCTCATCAGTTCCCTTAGTTTTTTGTTGGGGAATGTATGGCATTGTCCGCCGAGGGGTAAGGCAGGGAAGACTATAGTTTCGGATCTCGCCACTGATCCTCATCAGTTCCCTTAGTTTTTTTGTTGGGATATTCTCCCCAGAAGCTATTAATAGCTTCTTTACAAAAAACCTTTCAAACCCAAATGTCTCTTGTGACAATTCGAAGTTCTTACGTTACCAGCGATACGACCCTAATGAGAAGTTCGTTTCGTTGGCGCCTGACTTCGTGGTCAACAAGGCATTTACAGACAACTACAATACATTTCCCACTGCTATGTGTCGTCACTTTGTGACGAATGCACATAACGTTGTTGTTGGTATTGCTAGTTAAAGCAATAAACCAAACAGTATGACCGTGCCTCGTCTACAACTTCAGTAGTGTTTTTTTTTTTATAAAATCAACAAACTGGGATAAAGCCTGACTATTTTGCAAAAACTAAATCAGGACATACATTATTTTGTTATGCTCATTATTTGGTGAAAATGTTCATTATATTTAAAGCTCATATTTTAGCAATGAATAATTTAACAATTTCAGTTATCACTAAAATAATGTAAATTTACATCAAAACATTGATAATCCGGATAATTTATTGTAGATCCGGATTGGGATCTATTAGCGAGATTACTATCCAGATTAGCGAGATTTTAGTTTATAAATATGTATGTTAAAATACCACAAATACTGCTCATAAAATATTTGTAAATTAGCGCCCCTATATTCCATTTTCCGAAACTGGCACATTATCCCTTTTCAATACATCATTTTGTTTGTTACATATTTCTAATAGCGACATCTATTATATATTTTCTATACCACATTGAATATAAGCTTTTGCTTTAAAAAAAATCTTATTGGAACACGTTCGCTTTGACTATTCAACCACGTCAGCTGTTTCGTCATTAAAGTAACGTACCACAGGATGTGTACACTCATGATTTGTATTTGGTACAACGTGCTAACATTGTTCGGTTTACATTTTAGTAGCAAATGTGAAAAGCTTTTGCTGGAATTATTTTGTTCTAAAACTAGAATAGTGCGTTAACATAAACAGCTGATATGAAAATGGTGGATGTGAATATTTCTGTTAGATTAAAAAGAAACAACAATAGCATCATGGGAAATGTAAACAAATGACGTACATGATGATGAGAGTCTCTAGTATGGTCGGTCGGACGTCCCTCAAATGATGAGCGATGTTGCTTAAAATAAACAAACGGCAGGGCACAAACGATTTATGACAGCTCACAAAAATTCATTACGCTGAGAGATTTCATGATTTTTAATAATATTTACGTAATTAAAAGCAACAACGTCATTAATTTTGATGTTTAGAAATACATACCCGGCGCTCCTTCCTCCACTGGACATTTAAATACACACGTTTCCTCTACAGCAGCATCAAACACCTCATGGACGGTGCGGAACTTTTTACTGAGGGTAATGAAGTTCGAGAACACATCTCCAAATATGGCCTCTGCGGCAATAATAGCATCTCTTAAGTGGGCAATTGTGCTGGAGCCGTAACCGGAATATGCGTACGTAATAAATGTTAATACATAAATTGCTATTTTCATGTACGAAAAATTCATTCCGGTGTTTTTTATCTTGTAACAAGTTGAGTTGTGTTTATCTTCTTCACTTATCTTTTGCGACTATTTTTATTTTCGTTGCATGGGGCGGCAGAAGACGATATTTGACTAATTCGGTGTGTTTGTTGTTTGTAGCACCTTTGAACAGCTGTTGCAGATATTATTCACCAGCAGACGTTTATTTCCACCACTAAGCTTTTGTGTGAAAAGCTACAAACCAAAAATATTTCTGTTATTTTCAAATAGCATACATATAATTTAATTTAACGTTAGATTTGATTTAAAAATATTAATGCTATATCTATTTGACAATTCATGGTGTAATTATGTAAGGTAGTCTTTTTAAAGAAATTAATATGTAATTCATCTACCAAATACAATTAAAACCAGTAAGGAAAGTAGTAAAGTCGGGCTGGGCCGTCTATATGTCACCCTTCACCCTTCACATATCATCCCAATATTTTCATGTCAATGTTCCTTCGAGGGAAATTGAACAAATTTAAATATGTGACCTATATCTATATAACAAACGAATAACATCAATTAATGCACATGCTAAACTTCAGTTTATTCGGATTTAGAGTCGCTTACGTACAATGAGAAAAATTTATGTACATCGATTTATAGCACATTTGATAGAGTAACTTCGGGTAATGTGGTCCATCTCCAAATATGGCCTCTGCGGCAATAATAGCATCTCTTAAGTGGGCAATTGTGCTGGAGCCGTAACCGGAATATGCGTACGTAATAAATGTTAATACATAAATTGCTATTTTCATGTACGAAAAATTCATTCCGGTGTTTTTTATCTTGTAACAAGTTGAGTTGTGTTTATCTTCTTCACTTATCTTTTGCGACTATTTTTATTTTCGTTGCATGGGGCGGCAGAAGACGATATTTGACTAATTCGGTGTGTTTGTTGTTTGTAGCACCTTTGAACAGCTGTTGCAGATATTATTCACCAGCAGACGTTTATTTCCACCACTAAGCTTTTGTGTGAAAAGCTACAAACCAAAAATATTTCTGTTATTTTCAAATAGCATACATATAATTTAATTTAACGTTAGATTTGATTTAAAAATATTAATGCTATATCTATTGGACAATTCATGGTGTAATTATGTAAGGTAGTCTTTTTAAAGAAATTAATATGTAATTCATCTACCAAATACAATTAAAACCAGTAAGGAAAGTAGTAAAGTCGGGCTGGGCCGTCTATATGTCACCCTTCACCCTTCACATATCATCCCAATATTTTCATGTCAATGTTCCTTCGAGGGAAATTGAACAAATTTAAATATGTGACCTATATCTATATAACAAACGAATAACATCAATTAATGCACATGCTAAACTTCAGTTTATTCGGATTTAGAGTCGCTTACGTACAATGAGAAAAATTTATGTACATCGATTTATAGCACATTTGATAGAGTAACTTCGGGTAATGTGGTCCACCATTTTTTTTTTCGATATTGTGGACGTAACAACGGTAAAAAATAAAAAACAAATTGTTTTCACAACATAGTAGATTTGTTGGCTAAATATATTCCAGGTCAAACATTATATATATATATTTGCCTATAAAAATGTTATTGCATTATATTTCAAAAAACTCTAAACTGCGAATAAAAATAACTTGGCGGGTAATGTGGACCAGTATGTGTGGGTAATGAGGATCTGTATGTTAAAGGTAGTCAGTGTTTGGTTGTGATAAATTTCAATTTATTACACTCTTGGGTAACAATGAATGCAAAAATATATGGGTTTATGTTTTGGAATAGCGCCAATTTAAGGGTACCGCTGAACCACTTGACATAGTGCTTTGACATTAAAAACACGTTTGCAAAATTTTGGCCGCCTATGTCAAGTGGTTACGCAGTTAATGAGTTTATACCCAATTTTTGGGTAAAAACTCGGGTATTTACCCAAGTATTTACCCACGTCTTTAAATTATCGTAAAACTATCCATTCTAAATCGATTTGATAGCAGAAACCCGGAGATAGGGTGTAAGATCTTTTATTACCTATTCAATATAGTAAATACCCAACTAAATACCCACAAATGGGTATTTACCCGATTTACCGGCTATTTACCTAATTTACCGGGTATATACATACTGATTTTTAATTTTTATTCATTTTTGAAGTCAAAAATTATTTTTAAATAAAAATATTCAATGTCGGCATGAGGACGAATTCGAAACATGGGCGCATTTAACATGCGAGGAGGTATTCTATCCTCTGAAAACTCGATATGCGAAATTACAGCTGTTTCGGTTGGATAATGAAGCAAGGACCTTCAAAATACCGCAAATGGGGCGGTACCCTAATATGGCGGCTATTCCAAAACATAAACCCATATATTTTTGCATTCATTGTTACCCAAGAGTGCAATAAATTGAAATTTATCACAACCAATCCACAACCTACCTTTAACTTAGTGATCCTCATTACCCACACATACTGGTCCACATTACCCGCCAAGTTATTTTTATACGCAGTTTACAGTTTTTTGAAATAGAATGCAACAACATTTTTATAAACAAATATATATAATCTTTGACCTGGAATACATTTAGCTAACAAATCTACTATGTTGTGAAAACAAATTGTTTTTATTTTTTACCGTTGTTACGCCCACAATATGAAAAAAAGAAAATGGTGGTCCACATTACCCGACGTTACTCTATATGAGAGCTATATATAAATCTGAATAATCTAAATAAGTCGAAACACATATAGGGACTTTGATGAACCATTTACCATAAATCGGACGAAAATATATATATGGTAGCTATATCTAAATCTCAACCGATTTTCAAGAAATTTTACACACATCATTCTACACTCAATTCAGTACGCTATGTCAAATTTCGTTCATTCAATTTTCGTTCAAATACATTAAACCGGGCGAAAATATATATGGGAGCTATATCTAGATCTGAACCGATTCGGGCCTTTATTTTCTATATTAAGGGCGATTTTCCGAATGTTAAGTGTACTGTACAAATTGTTGCCAATTTTCTATTTTCACACTAAATCTCTTAAATGCTGTATATCTAAGTGTTCTGAATTAAAAAAAATATAAATATTTCCAATGAATCAAGGGCTGATCAAAACCTTTTTACCACAATTAGTGTTTCAATTACGTAACCACCACTGTAGCTGTAATATGTCAAATATTAGGATTTGAAAAGTTGGGATCAAAGTAGATGTTATTTATTATTAAGTGGAAATTTATTTTTTCAGCAAAATAGGGGAGGTTCCCAAAGGAGTGGTCTGACATTCATCATCTTCGAACTTTAGTTAGGTAAGGAAGAAATATAACGATATTCAAATTTGTATTGAATCCATAATTTCTTTCAAGAGATATCGTGCGCAGCATCCAGCCAGACAGATATTTTAGCCGTAAGGCTGGGTTTATAGAAATAAAGTTTATAGGTATGAAACGTTTTCTATCAATATCTGATAATTAATATTTTATTTTTGTTGAATTAGAAAAGTTGTCTTCACACCTTCACGTATAATCAACATCAGTGAATATAGTGTTAACTCACTTGGCTTTTAAAAGAACGCCAAAAACGTAAAGAATAATTAGGAAAATATGTTTTTGTGATTTTTTGTGTAATAATTCGGAAGTTGCATTTAAAGCAGAAAGTTTGACGTATTTTAAAGAAAAAATAAATCCTTTCATTTTTTTTAATATTTATGATGGAACAAAAATGTTAATGTATGTTTTCGTTTAATTGAAATAAATTATTTTGGTAGAAAACGATTAAAAGTTATGTCCACAATAAAATTTAGGTAATTAGAATGTATGAATAGAGATGTATTCCCCTCGCTAAGTTTGCTGTCTTTTAAAAGGTAGACGGCAAAATAGCCTACTATTATTTTGCCAGTTTTCAATGTAGAACAGAAGTTTGCCGTTGACTTTCAGCAACATTTTCGAAGAACTTGAGCAGGGCGATTATAAGAGGATAGTCAATGTCCAGTCCAATATATTACCACCCACTTGCATTCGAAGGATTGCTATTTTTATATCATTTCATTATTTTTAATAAATAATGTAGAAACTGTATATAATTATTATGTACTTCTAATTCCATTAATAGTCCCTTCTCTTGTTGAAAATGAAGTGTATTTTGCGTTAACAAAATACAAAACAGTAATCTTAGAATAACAATTTGAAGACGTGAATTTTCTTTCAATATAAAATGATTGTTTAACTAAAATTTAAAGATTTATGATTTAATATCTATGTCTTATTTACTATTACGGTCAATGTTTATGCACACATATCCATCTTTTAACACTAAAAAATGTCTTAAAGGTCAGTGTTAACACGAAGAAACTGTAAACTGAGAAAATATACTGAAAATAGCTGAAGAGTTGTTGTCCCTTGAGGACATTTGTTAGTGACAGCAAAAATAAGAGAAAAATGAATATAACGTGTACGATATAATATACTGCATAGACTAAAGAATATAATAGTAGTGTTGGAAGAGATGGTCACAATTTATAATTATGTGCCCCGTACTAAATAAGTTCACACACACGTATTTTCATACCATAGGAAAAACGGCTAATTAATCGTGAAATGGTGTGTATTCACATACATTGCGCTGTACATATCATGAGAACTTGACGCGTTTAAAAGGTTGTTATGAGAATAATAATCTTACGATTTTTGAAAAACTTCAAGAAATCGTATTGTTTCATATAAGAAAGAAAAAATACCATATGATACCCTACACCAATTTATATACACACAAGAGCGGCTCCTAAGATTTTTATACACACAGCCTTATGGCTAACGATTTTGCTACTGCAAAAATATGCCTCATCGAAATATTGGTTTTATACCCCATGTTTCTTTGAACCAAATCCGTTTCTTTGAACCAAATCCGGTATTATTTACAACTTTTTAAAGATTAAAAGACGATCTTATAATGGAATATAAAGTTAAATGTTGCATACGATTTTTTCCCACTTTCCGCGTGAGTTTGCTTTTTTGAGACCATGGGATGCCACACAACGATTGCCGAGAGAAAATTATTTTTTCACCATGCTGAACTAGGAAAATCTCAGCGGAAGTACTCAATATTATTCGATCTGCTGTCCAAAAAGTTGTATTGAGGCACAAAATTGAGAACCGAAATTGTAGAAAGCCGAAAACTCTCGCTGGTTTTCGCCTTTTTGCAATTAAATATTAGAGACGAGAAGTGGTGGTCGATAATCCAAAGCTTAGTGCACCTAAACTTGCGGAAATCACAGAGAAATATGTGGAAAATATTTAACCCCTAAACAATTTAATGAATTTGCGTAAGCATGGTCTTCATGGCAGAGTGGCAGTTCGTTCAGGAACACAAAAAAAAAAAAAACGAATTTTACATTTTGGAAATCTGTTATATTTGCTGATTAGAGTAAATTTAACTTCTCTGGGTCGGATGGACCAAGTAAGGTATGGTAAAGGGCGAATAAAGCCTATGCACACAATTCCGGCCGTAAAACACGGAGGAGGCCCCCCAATGGTTTGGAGCTATATGAGCGCTATCGGAGTAAGAAATCTCGTTTTTATTGAAGGAATTATGGGTAAGATTTATTT